TTTTATTTCCAAGAAGAATAAAGAGCTATATCTTTATATTAATTATTATAAACTTAATTAAGTTATAATTAAAAATTAGTATTTGCTTTCTTTTATTAATAAGACTTTTAGTTAGCTTTAAAAAGCCAAGATCTTTATAAAGCTAGATTTTAAGAATATATATTATTAGATAAGAATTCGTAAAAAATACAAATAGAAAATAGCTTTTAGAACCTGCTATAGCTATTTTAAATACTTTATAATACTTTTTGGGCTAGCTAATATACTAGCTATATTTCAAATATATATTAATACTATACTTATAGAACTTCTGAATTATTTCATAATTATTTATTTAGATAATATTCTTATTTATTCCCAAAATAAAAATAAATACTATAATTATATTTACTAGATATTTATTAGGCTATATAAAAATAATCTGTTTTATAAACTTAGTAAATACAAGTTTAATATTAAGGAAATCAAATTCTTGAGCTTCCTTATTAAAATAGAAGATATTTATATGAATTCTAAATAGATCTATAGTATTATTAAATAGCTAGAACTAGAATTATTCTATAATATTTAAGTATTTCTTGAATTTACTAATTTCTATTATAGGTTTATTAATTATTACTTTCAGGTAATTATAGACTTAATAAACCTCTTAAAAGAAATAGAAAAGAGCCGGAAATCCGGTTTCTTTATATAAATAAATAAAGTAACTAAAAGCTATAAGACTTTAAAAAAAGCTTTTACTATAATACCTATTCTAGTCTATTTTGACTCTTCTAAAAAGATTTGTATTAAAACTAATATATCGAAATTTGTAATTACTAGTACTATTTTATAATAAGTTAATTCTAGTAATAGCCCGAAAAAATACTAGTATCTAATAGTATTCTGGTTCTGGAAACTTTCCGGAGCCAAATACAATTATAGTACTTATAATAGGGAACTACTTGTAATTATTAAAGCCTTTAAATATTAGTATTATTACCTTAAAGAGTTCAGATTTATAATCGAGGTTATTATAGACTATAATAACCTCTAATACTTTATAGAAATAAAGTATCTAGAAAGCTATTAAATATATTAGGTAATATACTTTATAATATATAATTTTAATATTATTTATTATAGAAGTGCCTTAAATCTAGTAAATAGATCTAGTAAAAGGCCTAATTATAAAAAAGATTCTATTAATATAATTTGGCTTCTAATCTTTTAAAATAAATTAAAGAAAGCTTTTATAATTATAATTTAGAAATTCTTATAAATATCTAAAGAGTTTCTTCTTTAAAATAAATAATCTTATAGATTTCTTAATTATAGAATTAATTAAGAAATAAGATATAGAGAAATGCCTTAAAGGCTCTATTACTATAGCTAAAATAATAAGGATATTTATAACTATATTACTTAATAGAACTAAAGACTTTTTAGTTCTCTAAGTTTTTGAATTAAATAGTTATAAATATCTAATTCCCTATATATAGATATATATAGTTACTAAAAAAGCTATAGTACTAGCTTCTTTATCTGAATTCCTTCTAAATATTATTCAGGTAGCTTAGAGAAATAATTCTTAATATTAGAATATCTTAAAATAGAGGCTTAGTAAAAGAAATACTAAAGGAAAAGAAATCTGGAAAAATAACTCGGGCCTATTTAGATATTATTTAAGAATTATTATATTTAATAATTCCGCCTTATATTAAGAAGTTATAAAGCTTTATTATAATAATCTAATAGCCAGATATTATAGAATAAAGAAAACTCTCGAGCTTCTTAGAAAATTCTAGTATTAGAAGAATATAGAAAGAAATATTTATAAGTATTATTAAAAATATAATATTTACTAAAGAGTTAAAGCTAAGAGGCATTTGCTATATAGTCTGCTTAGCAGTTTACTATAGCCTAAAAAACTCTAGAATAAGATCTCTATAGATTTTATTATAGGTCTACTATTATATAAAAACTCGGTAAAAGATCCCGATTTTAATATAATTCTTATAGTTATTAACTAGTATTTTAAAATAGTAAGGTATATTATATATTATAAAATAGTTAATTCTTTAAAGCTTATTAAGATTATATAGAAATATATTTTCTTAATTTTTGGCTTCTCTAATAAAATTATTTCCGATTAAGAAATAGTATTTACTAGCTAGTTCTAGTCTGCTTTCTGCTTCTATTTAATATATAAATAGTATTTAAATACAGCTTATTATTCTTAAATAAATAGTTAGATAAAAAGGCAGAATTAGGCCCTAGAATATTACCTGAGATATTATTATAATACTTAAAAGAATAACTAATTTAAGAAATTATTTTTTACGGAATTTATATATAATAACTCAAAATATTAGATTTTATAAGATATATCTTTCTATATATATTACGGATATTACCTTTAATTTCTATAAAATCCTGAGAATAAGATTATAAAAAAGGTACTAGCTATATATAAAAGGCTAGAAACCCTTAAAGCAAAGCAGAGAAAGCTTAAGAACTTATAATATTATATATAAAATAACCGGGAAACCTATTATAATAGATATTAGTTAGCTAAATACTATTTTAAAGAAGCCTAAATAATACTATTAATAAGAAATATTAAACTTAAGGCAAGAAAGCTTAAATTAAAATTTATAGGTCTGTTTAAGATCCTTAAATATATTAGTAATTCGGTATATAAATTAGAACTATTAAATATATATAATTATTTATATCTAATTTTCTATATTTCTTTTTTAAGAAATATAAAATAAAAAAGAATTAGAAGCTATATCTATATTTTTCCGAAGACTTTCCGGAATTAGTAAATAATAATAAAGAATAAAAATAGGAAATAGAAGCTATTATTAATTACTAATAAGATAAAAGAAGCAAGAAGTAATAGTATTTAATTAAATAGAAAGCCTAGCCTAAAAATTATAATATTTAGTTATCTGCTTTCTCTAACCTTAAAAATTTTAAGGAACTTCTAAAATTATATAACTAAAACTATAGCTTGAAATCTAAAACTATCTTTTAATAACCTCTTAAAATTAAAAAGAATTCTGAACTATTAAGAAAAAGGCTACTTAAAAAAAAAAGAATCTAGCCGGCTAAGAAAGGGCCCAGAATAGTAATAGAAATACTTTTTTTCTAGGGTTTTTTATTTATAAAGGTTTTCCAGAGTTTTATTAAAGCTTATAAGAATTATATTTAAATTATTAGAAAAAGATTTAGAATTAAGAAAGATTTATTATAGATAGACTAGCTATAGGTATCTTAAATAAATAAACTTTAATTCTTATAAATTTCTAATTCCTAAAACAAGAATATTAAACGCCGGCCCTATTTAAAACTTAATAAAGAACTAGATAATGCTTTCCGGAATCCACTTATTCTTTAATAAGATATAGTTATACTATAATAATATTAGTATTAAGAATATTAAAAGAAGTAAATAAAGAACCTATAATAGTTATATATGTCTTATAAAAGGCCCGAATTTCTAAAGTTAAATCCCGAATAGCTATAAATATTATATTATTAGTACTTAAAATACTAGTAATAAATTACTTAGAAATCTCGGTAATAAGCTCGGTAATAAGATTAATACCTTAAAGATAAACTTTATAGTATTTCTTTAAGAAATTAGTAAATATCTAAATATATTAGAAAAATCTATTTTTGAAATATTAATCTAAATAGTATTATCTTCTGCTTTATTAAAATAGGAAGAAGAATTCCGAAGCTTATTAGACTTTTTTTAGTTTTCGAAAACCTAATTAATAGTATTATTTATATTAGTATAATACTATTTAGAATATTTTTTAAGAAATTTCTTAAAAATTATAATAGTATTTTTCTAGAACTAGTAAGCCTCTAATAAATAATAAGGAATCTAAAATTGCATTAGCTTTAATAGATATTAAAGCTAAAGAACTTATTAATATATAAGATTTAGAGCCCTTATTATAATAGTTATAATTTTTCTTACTAGATACTATAATATATAAAGTAAAGAAATTAATAAGTAAATACTTGAAATATTTCAAGTATTTACTAGTAATAGAAAAGAAGGCTAGAAGATTACCTTTATACTTGTAATTATATTAGTAGATAGTAAAGCTAGAAAATATTATAGAATTAATTAAAAATAATTAAAGAAGACTTAAAGAAAAATAAAAGAAAAAGCTAGAAGGTAATAATAGAAAAAGTTATTATATATATAGTTATTAGAAAGAAAGAAAATATATAATAATATAAAGAGGTTCTTTTATAAAAATAGAGAATTATCTGAATTAACTACTAGTTTTTATATTAGTTCTAATTAGAAATTAGTATAACCGATTAATATATACTATAATAGGTCGAGACCCGATTTATATACTTGGCTAGAAGCCTATATTAGGTTATATAATAAAGGCCCGGCCTTTATTATATAATATACCTCCTTAGATTAATAGAGTAATTATATATTACTTAGAAAACTCGGATATCTTAAAGAATATAGTTCTGCTTCTTCTATTTCTTTTATTTTTCTTTCTCTTTTTTCCTTAAAAAATTCTATTTAGTTAATCGAACTACTAGTTTTCTTTATATAAAGGCCTGGCCTATAATATTAGAATTCTTTCTCTTTTATCTTTACTAACTAGAGATTATATATATATAAAGCTAGAAATAAGAAGTATCTGAATCTATATATAGAAAATAAAGCTAGAAGTAAACTCTATTTAAAACTATCTATAAAGCTAATACCTTAGTAAGACTTTAAAGTATATAAAAGCTAGTAGTAGGAAATGCTTGAAACTATATATAAAAGCCAGAATACTAATTTAACTAGTTAATATTAGAAATTATCTAGGTTTTTTTAAGCCTGGCTTAAGAAAATAAAACTATTAAATCTTTCTATTATATAAAAATTTAGAAGCAAGACTTCTGGTAATTAGTTAGATAAACAGATAGCTATATAAAGCCAAGATAATAAATAAGGCTCCCTAATAGCTATAAGAAGCTGTCGTATGTACGGGTACTAGGGAGCTTAGCTTTGCTTACTTAGCGGCCCCTTTTATTTAGCTAGATCCAGAGGCTCCCTTTAGAGCTTCTTTTAATTAGATAACTACTTATGCAAATTACTATTCCTTGCTATTTTGCGATAGTTATAAGCCCGGCATACTAGCTATATATCTCTATTAGTAATTAGTAAGCGTTCTAGTAATTGCGGTTTGTTCTCACTATAGTCGTAACTACCAAAAGAATACGTTTTACCTGGTTTTCTTATCCTTTATTCCTCTCTTTAGAATAGTAGCTCTACTAGTCTCCGATATACGCCTTACTAATTACAGGAGCTTCCCTGCATGGTATATAGAGCTTAAAATTAATTTCACCTTTCGAAACGTATGGTACCTCGTTAATCCCGATGCTCCAGAAGCTCCTTACCTGCTCTCTGCAGAGTCCCCCCTACCTCTTACGATTAATTAAATAATTGAGTAATCGAATATTAAGCAAAATACTCTATTAGCAATATGGGATGCGGATGGGAGGCCAGAAGCAGAGAAGGGAGCATGACCAAGAGCTCCATGTCCAGCTCGTTTTGACGATATTAAGGAGGAATACTTGTTTAGGCTCAAGGAGTACTCTGTTAAGTAATTAAATTAGTTAACGCAAAGCTCTCGGTATTAGAATATCTGGGATTAGGTACGCCGTACGGTAGAACCTGCTCTGCTCGTACTATATCTTGAGTTACTTGTTTCCCAGCAGAGGCTCTCTCTTTAGAACGTCATACGAGCTCTTCGCGAGAAATTCCAGCTATCGGAGAACAATATGCGGGAATAAGTAAGGGAGGATTATAACAGAATTCTGGACCGTGGCAGAATAGGTAGAGAATCTCCCATAGCCTGGATTAATAATTGGTACCAAGCTCTTGCACGAGCTCAAACCTACCGAGTTACAGAAGTCGAAGAATTCCTGGTAATCAAGGACTTTCTTCAAGTGGTAGTAGCCAAGTTTATACTAATTTGGGGAGCATAGCAACTTGCTTTGGTAATTGAGGCTAATGCGCTTGGAGAGCCCATTCGTACGCTCGAGTAATACGGAAGGATCTTTGAGGCCCTGATTCAGTAAAATGAACGCTCTTTACTTGTGATCTTTGCTTCTCTCGCTAGACGATCTGATTCGCAAGGCCACTCGTATTCTTGTAAGGAAACAAGAGCGGAAAAGCACCCGTGGAAGCCCGTTAATTGCTCTATTCTAGAGCTTGTAACTACTGGTTCCTGTACCAGGAAACTTGATCCATAGCCTACGGACGAGTAATTGAAGGACGTACGAGAACGCTTGGCAAAAGGATACGAGAAGCTACGTAGGCAGCTTGAGAAGAAGGGTTAGATAAAGAATGGAGGGAAGTTACCAGGGGACTTTGAGTATTAATAGTGCGTATGATGTGGTTTCCTGGCTTTGGGCTTGCAGAGCCGTCCGGGGCTAGAGCTAGGCTTTTTTGGGAACTGAGTATACTGCCGGAGACATCTGGGGACGCTCTGCTTCCTACCCCTTTTGGTTCTATTAGCTTAATGTGAGGCGTTAGGGAATAACGGTTTCTTAGCTCTCAATTAGGGGAGATAGACCACTATATATATATTCCTTTTAGCTAGGGGTGCTCCGTGGGAGTACTTTACTAGCTATTTCCTTTATATATAGAATTAGAAGCCTCTGGGGAGTGTATCATATGTACGGGTACTAGGGAGCTTAGCTTCGCTTACTCAGCGGCCCCTTTTATTTAGCTAGATCCAGAGGCTCCCTTTAGAGCTTCTTTTAATTAGATAACTACTTATGCAAATTACTATTCCTTGCTATTTTGCAATAGAAGCCTTTATAGTATAGTTTTAATAGCTATTAGAGCTGGCTATATATTAGGCAAACTTGATAGCAAATCTAGCTATATAAATTAATTTAATTAATAAATATATAATAATTCCGAATCTCTTATAAATATAAATATCCCTTCTATTTTATATATTTCTCTAATTCCCTTTTATAAGGTAACTAAAAGCCTGCCTCCTGAATTCTAATAAGTTTAATAGAAATAATTTGGCCCTATATCTCTAGTTTAAAGAACTTTTATAGGCAAAGCTAGAAATTAATAGAGAGGTAATTAGTAGAAAGAAAGAGAGAATTTAATACGGATTCGGATACTTATCCGGAAAAGTAGTAAGCCGGATATATCTATAGCTGGAATATATCTAGAAAGAAGAGAAATTTATAATTAAAGAATTATTTAAATAGATAAATCTGGCCTTCTATAACCTGCAGAAATAATAGAAGGCTTTAAGGGAATTAAACCAAATTTAGTAAAGGTTAATTTCTTTAGGCAAATTCTTAAATAATTTTAATTACCTAATTCTAGAAATAAAGAAATAGAAATAGTAAAATAAGATTAAAAAAGAGTATTTTAAAGTTACTATTATAATTGAGCTTATAGAAGAAATAGTAGAAATAAAGAAGAAAGAATTATATAAGAAATACTATTTCTAGTTATAGATAATTAATAATTAGCTAGCTAAAATTAAGAATATAAAAGCCTATTACCCGAACTAGTTAAATAAAAGGCCTAAAAGCCCTTTTCTGTCTAGAGCTGCCTTACCTATCTAGCTAATAGAATAGAAGCCTACTATAAGTAATATAAGATAATAGTTAAAGAATATCTCTAATTAGGTTTTTCGAAATAAAATTAATTAGTAAAAAAAGAAAAGACTTTGCCTTTAATATAGTTAAGATAATTATTTTATATATAATTATTAAGTAAAGCTATATTCAGGCTTCTTTTCCTAAACTAGTAAATAAAGAAAAGAAAAAAAGAAGAAATAGCTAAAAGTAAAAGTAAAAGATATAAAGATATTAAGAATAGCCCTAAAAAAGGCAAAAGCAGCTCGGAAAAAGAATATTAATATCTCGAATAAAAGTAGTAATAAAAATAAAAAGAACTTAAGTTTGTCCGATTCGGGAAAAAACTAGCTTCTAATAAAAGTCGCTATTAGAAGTATATATAAATAGAGTTAGATTAGTAAGCTTGAAAGCAATTTCGGAAAAATATAATTAGGCTTTCTTTTTTTATATTAGTAATAGTTAATAAAGAGTATTTTATATAAACTCTTATTAATACTAAATATATATTATATAGAATAATTAATTCTTACTTTACTAGTTAATATAATCTCTAGTATATATTAATTACCCCTAAATAAATAGAGGCTTTTAATAGAATAATACCGGATATAATTAGGAAAATAGTAGTATTTAGTATAAATATTAATAGCTATTATAAATCTTATATCTTTTTTTATATAATTCCTAAAATCTCTGGCTTAGATATAATCTTAAATATATAATAGCTTCATTTATAAAATTTATAAATTTATAATTTAAGATTTGAGCTATTTATCTTATTATCGGAAACCTTAATATAAAATAAAATAAGCAGATTATTAACTCTTAGCTTATAAATAGTAAATTATATATAAGTCTCGGTAGTTTTATTCTTTTATTTAGTAAAGAAAAATAAGAAGAGAAATATAAAAGTTTTCTTAGCTAGCCTAATAGATATTTAAAAAGCCTTAATCCGGAAAAAGAGAACTAACTCTTATATAAAGCTTTTAAAATAGTATAAGAGTTTCTAAAAGGCATTCTGCCTAATTAAAATAGAGAAGTTACTATTTATTTAAGGCTAAAGAATTAACTATTAGATTAAATTAGAAGAAATTAATAGAAAAGAACCCGTTATACTATAGGGCCTACTATATAATATATTTCGAAACAAGTTTCTAATACTATAGAAAATACTTATAGAATTATTAGATAAGGGATTTATTCGAGTAAACTACTCTTTTATTACTACTTTTATTCTTTTTATATAGAAATCCGGTAGGGAATTATAATTCTATATAAATTACTAGAGCCTAAATAAACTTATAAAAAAGAACCGGTATTTGCTTTTACTAATCTATAAAACCTTTCGGAATATCGGGAAAGCGAAATAGTTTATAAAGCTTAATATTATAGTAGCTTTTTATAAGATTTATATTACTAAAAAAGACAAGTAGAAAATAGCCTTCTATATAAGATATAGACTTTATAAGTAATTAATAACCCCTTTTAACTTAGTAAATACTTTAAATATATTTCAGAAATATATTAATTAAATTTTTAGGGATTTTCTAGATAAGTTCTATTTTACCTATATAAATAATATTCTAGTTTACTTATCGGAATTAAGAAAAGAGTACTATAAGTATATATAAAAGGTTCTCTAGTAACTTTAAAAAAATAGATTTATAGCTAGATATTAATAAATACAAATTCGAAATTAAGTTAATAAAATATTTAGGGTTTATTATAGAGGCCGGAAAGGGCATTTATATAGATCTAGTAAAGATTAAAGCTATTCTAAGTTAAAAAGCCCTAAAGTTAGTAAAAGATATATAAAATTTTCTAGAATTTACTAATTTCTACTAATATTTTATTCGGGAATTCTTAGAGATTATTCGACTATTATCTAACCTTATATATAAGAACCGAATATTCTTATAGATAAATAAAGTAAAAGCTATTTTCCGGAAGCTTAAAAAGATATTTATTTCGGCCTTAATACTAGTATAATTTAACTATAACTAAGAGATAATTCTCAAAATAGATTTTTCCGAATAAAATATAAATAGTATTTTTATATAAATTAATAAAAAAGGTATCCTATAATTCTATATATATTTTTCGAAAAAGAATAACCTTATAAAATATAATTATAAAATCTATAATAAGGAAATATTTATAATTATTTATTATTTAGAGAAATAGAATATAAAACTAAAAAGTATTTACTAGTTCGAAATCTAAATAAATTATAAAAACCTGAAATACTTTATAATAGTATAGAAACTTATTAAATAGTAAATAAGATAGTTTTTAATTCTCTTATAATATAATTTTAAGATCTTATATATTTTAGAAAAGAATAATAAATAAGCAAATATATTCTTAAAGTAAAAATAAAACCTTTTTAATAGAAAAGAAAATAACTATTAGTAGTTTAGAATATTATAACTATTAAAGCCGGAGACCTTTAATAACCTTTCTAAAAACTCGACTTTTATAGTACTAATATAAGTAAAAAGACAAATTAAGAAGTTTGCCCGATTTCCTAAGCTCGATCTAGATAATTAAAATTAAAAAAGAAGTATCTAGTTAAGAAACTAGCAGAATATAGAGATCTAACTTATAGATATAAATTAGTAAAAAAGCGGGAGAAATGAAATAGAACCTCTTTTAAAGTAAGAAGATTTTTCTAAGCCAAGAATAGAATAAAAGCTATATTAATAACAGGTAAATAAAGTAATAAGTAAAAGATAATATCTAAAATATATTAAGAAAGCTCTAATATAATACCTAAAAGAAAGACAAGTTATATTAGACTATAATTAAAGTAGTATAGAAAAAGAAACAAATATTTCTATCTAACTTAAAAGTTAAGATATTAATAGAAAAATACTTACTATTCTAGTTAAAATAATTTCTTTTCCGGAAATAATAATAGATTTCTAACTTAAAAAAGCTTTATATAAAGCTAATTTAATAGATTTATAACTCGATCTAATATAGCTATCTAGAACAAAATATTATAAGTGCCTTTCTTATATAATAGTTCTTCTAATTAAATATATTAAGGCAAATATACTAGTTTATATAGAACTATAATACTTGTAGAAGAAATAAAATATAGAGGAACTATTATTAGGGATTTCTGAAGCCTCTTTCTATTTTGAGTTAAATCTAGTAAAAGATTTTAATTAATTTTATAATAGAACTTCTATTAAGTAAAGAATATACTAATATAATAGTTATTATAAACTACCTAGAGAAAGGAGTAATACTTGAGGCTATAGTAGATATTATAGTAAAGATAGTAATAAAGTAGTTTATAAGAATTTATTATTACTAGTATAGGCTTCTAAAAGTAATAGTCTCTAACCAGAAAAAGCAGTTTATAGAAGCGCTATAAATTAGAATATATAAGCTATTAGATATTATTTATTAACTATTTATAATATATTACCCTAAAATAAATAAGTCTATAAAAAAAATCAGATAATTAAGACCTTTCTTTATATCTTTATAGACTATAATTAAGTAAATTAGGTAACTTTCTTACTATATATCGAGCTAGTAATTAATAACCGGAATGCCTTATCTATAGGAATTAGCCTATTCTTTTTATTATATAAATACTATATTAAGCTAATATAGCTTTAAGATAAAGTTAGTAAGAAAAGTAAAGAACTATTACTTATTCAAGTAGTAGATAATATTATATATAGGCTCCGTAATATACGAGAGTATATATAAGCTATAATAGTAATAGCCTAGTAATTTTAAGAGAAAGTAGTAAACCGGAAAAGAAACCAGGCCCCAGAATTTAAGGTTAGAAATAAAGTCTAGCTTAATTTCTAGAATATCCGGATAAATAGGCTAATTAAGAAGCTTAATATAAAGTATACTAAGTATATAGTAATTAAAATAGTAGAAAGCTATAGTTTTCGGCTTAATATCTCTCTAGAAATCTATAATATATTTTATAGCAAGCTTCTTTAGCTAGCTATAATAGATCTACTACTAAATTAGTTCCAAGACAACTTATAACTATAACTATAGCTTATAGAAAATAAAGACAAGTACAAAATCAAACGGATTCTTAATAAGAAGTATATAAGATATAGTTAGAAGCTTTTAAAGAAGCTACTTATAAAATGGAAGAATTATATATACTTTATATAGAAACTATACTCTGTACTTAAAGAGATAATAATATTAGAAACTTGAGAGGAGATTATTTAATAGAAAGAAGTTTTGCCTATATACTTATAGGGCCGGTATTTATAGATAAGAAAAAGAGTAATATAATAGATTAAGATTCAATTTATATACTTGGCTAAAAGCCTATATTAGGTTATATAATAAAGTCCCTGGCCTTTATTATTATATAATATATCTTCTTAAGTTAATAGAGTAATTATATATTATTTAGGAAACTCGGATACTTTAAAGAATATAGTTCTGCTTCTTCTGCTTCTCTCGTTTTTCTTTTTTTTTTCTCTTTAGAGAATTCTATTTAGTTAATTAAACTACTAGTCTTCTTTATATAAAGGCCTAGCCTGTAATATATACTTCTAGAAGCCCGTAAATAATCTTAAGAATCTCGGAAATATTCGTATAGGCTTCTTATATAAATATTTTATTAAATTCTTTCTATAAAGCTATTTAGATTATTCTAATATAAGATCTAATAAATAGTATTAATTTCGTGAAATAGTGCCTTAGTACTTTAGATTAAGTTAATTAGAACGCTTAGTTCCTAAATAAAATCGCGATTACCGGCTAGCCCCTATATCTGAAATATAATTATTCTTCTTTCTCGCTTATTTAGCCCTAATCTAATTAGATGCTTTTTATATTTATTACTCAGATTATATTAGTAAAACTACCTCTCAAGATACTAGAAGTTTACCTTAATTAAATATATAATTAATTAAATATTTTACTAGAATAGATTAATAGATTTTAGGAATAAGATTCTAGAAGGGAAATATAGTTATAATATATATAGGGTTATATATAACTTAAAGGCGTATAATAAATCTCGGATATTATAGGTATTAATTAGAGAGATTAATAGCCCTTTAATATTATAACTAATTACTATTTATATTATAAGTATTAGGCTTATAAATCACTAATTATATATATATTATTGGGGCCTCTTATTTAGAGAAGGCTTTCCTAAACCTTATAGAAGAAATAGAGATTAGTTCTATACTGAATTTAATACTATAGTTTTATAACTCACTAATTTATTCTATTATCTTATTACCTACTAACAAATATCTTATATTTATTATTAATAAATATATAATAATAAAATAATTAATTTATAATTAATTTCTAAAAAACAATTTTAACTAGAAATTAATTAATATTTCTTTTTAAAATTATAAGTATTTTCTTATATATTCTTTAATATTTAATTAAATATTATTTAAAATTTAAAATTAAAATTATAATATTTAATATTTATTTATATATTATTATATATATTTATTATAATAAAATTAAAAATATTTAAAAAAAAAATATTTAAATATTATAAAATAACTTTAATTAAATCTTTAATTAACGACCAGACGGCAAACTGGCTGCTGTTTTCGGGGGGTTTGGACGCTGCTTTCTGCAGCCGACTTGCCAGAATTTGCCTAGAAAGATTTCTTGCTCCCCACCCAGCTGCTCAGCTCGTTCAGCAAGCATTTGCTTAGTGGTCGAAGAGCCCTCTTATCTGCCTTTTTCGACGACAGGACCAGGAGCTGACTGGTCTCCACTCCAGAACCTTTTTTTTTTTTTGTGTTCCATGGGTCTTTAGCTGCCTGGGGCGCTATGCAGACGCACTATACAGGATTAAGGCTACAAATGTGATCACGAGACTACGCCTCCGCTCCAGAGCTGACAAAGTACACCAGAAAATCAAAGAAATAAATTAAAATCAAATCCAAACTCCATGTAATCTTGTATCCAGCCTATCTTTCCGTTTTATTGTGAGTTGTTTCGTGAGATGACAGCCCCCACAGGGGCTCAGTTGGCCCTGTAAATACAATCAACGCCCTTGGTCGGGCCGAGGACCACTTCCTCCTACTCCAGTGGTGATAGTGTTTTGGTGTAGCTCGCAAACTGATTTAGGAGACCAGAGGCAAGCATGAAAGCGACAGTTTTGGGGATGAACTCTGGGTCTTCCACTCCAGAACCTTCACTTTTACTCTTCTACTGTACCTGCTGTCATACGCTTCATGATGCTCGCCTGAGCTCCTGCTAGTGGCTCAAGCAGGGGCATTGCGGAAGCTTGCCGCTCGCTACTTCGTAAAGACCTTGTACTACATATCTAACCTTTTTCTGGTAAGGCTTTTAGACATCCCTGTTTAGCGAGCGAGGATAAAACTTTCGCAAGGCCTGGTTGAGGGACCGGCCATGTGTTTTCCCATACTGTATTTGCGCATCATCCCTTGATGGCCGCTATATACTAGTAAGGCTGAGATTACGACCATTGTTTTTTTGGTTGCACATCACCCACGTCCTCCTCAAATGTTTGACATTAAGGGTGGGGGGAGAGTAGTGATACCGTTGCTGGGTAACATCTTACCCCTGCTTGGCGCTTGCACAGACCCTTTGACGAACGCTTCCGTTGTGTCTGCCTGTTGCTGTGGAGATTAACAGTTGTGGGAAGTCCCCCCAGAGCCCTAGGCGAGCAGTCATTTTTGCCAGCCGCTCTCTCTTTTTCGTCTAACATAATTCCACTGGATCATACTTTTCTCATATTCGAATTCTTTAATCCTGAGCTTGAACCATCCTCATCATGTCTTCGGCTACTGCTGAATGCGAACGCTGTCGAGATGGAGATTTGAATAACCATTGGGATCATCGGACCAAAGCGACATTCCAAACGATATATGACAGAGTGAAGTTTCTCCTCGAGAGCAGACCGCGTGAATGGAAGAAAGACCTCCAAGGTTGGAAGAAAGAACTCCAAGGAGCGATGCGAGAGCTGTTGGCAAAGCACATTGGTGATTCTCTCTACTCTGCGTATCGTAAACTTAAGTCTTACCAATTCGGTTTCTCTTCTAGAACGCGCAATCGGTCGACAAATTGTCAAGACAAAAGCTGTTTTCGACGGGTCAAATCTCTTCCCCCAAAAAGATGACCCGGGCGCGCCAAATCATTTCAGATGGGCCTTCAACGGAAACTATACAGGCTTCCCTGCAAACAGACTGAGTTCGTGGAGCCAACCCCATATTCTAGAGTGTTTCGAGGCTCTCGAGAGTGACGAATTATATATCGAGGACTTGGAAAAAGCGCCAGGCCGAGATGAACCTAAACTTCAGCTTGCAAGGGCCACGGAAGATGCGTTCAGAAAGCATATCTGTATGTCTTGGTAGCTGTCTATTCAACTGCAAATGGCTGCTGACGAAATACGCAGTGGATCATACAGGCAGAGCCGTAAAGGATCTTCAAAAGTGTCTCGTCGGAGACGGTTCTGCTGGTCTTAGAGGCTGGATGTGGGACTTTTCATGGGAAGAAGAGTTTCACAAATTTCCACATCAGAGATTGCTGTGGAAATGGAGTGACAAAGATTTGAAAGCTTCAATGGAATTATTGAAAAACGGATCATTGAAGCTCGTTCGAATTGAGGTGAGTCGGCCTGTAGACCTTGAAACAACCGGCCTTAACCGCTTTACAGAGCCTGCGATCAAGTTCATCGTCAGCGTCTTGCGAGAAGGCCATTAAGAAAGAAACCAAAGCTACGAAAGCTGCACGACGGCGTGGTAATACGATGGTTCCTAGCTCAGATGATGAAGACGACGAGGAAAATGAGCCACATAACGATGACGAGCATGATGACGACTTCGACAGCGGAAGCACTGTGGTTGTGGACGAAGGCTCCAACTCCGGCGACTTCGAACGTTTACTGCCTATGACCCGCCAGTTGCTGAAATATCTTGCAAGGCTTGAAAAGCAGCAACTGAAGGTGTTAGAGCTGCAAACTTTGAACAACACCCTACGGAACAGCAATACAGACCTGGACAAAAAGATTGAAGATACAAAGAAACATCTTAAGTCGGCTAGACGTTTCAATGAGATCTTGTTGGAAAAGCTCGAAGGAAAGGAACTGGAGGTCAAAGAAATGAAAACGAAATGCGATCGTTTGGAGCGGGAAAACGAAGAACTGAGCAGGAAATATGCTGCTTCGGAACAGAAACCGGAGGTCAAAGAAATGAAAACGAAATGCGATCGTTTGGAGCGGGAAAACGAGGAGCTGAGCAGGAAATATGCTGCTTCGGAACAGAAAAGAGAAGAGGCTGAAACAGTGGCTTACATTGCCATAAATAGAGCGACGACCGTGTCCGAAGGCTGTGATGCCTTAACTGCCGAGTTCAAGCAACAAAACAAGAGCAATAGAGCGTTGATAACGGGAATGCTGGCAAGCATTGAAAGAAGTCACTCTCCTGTTCTCGAAACAATAACCAGACCGACCGAGCCACCAGGTCAGGCCGGGCATCAAGAATCCCCACGCAAAAGTCACGCACGGCCTTCCAATATTCCGGCAGCTTCGAAGATCAGCCAAAATCCTCACTTAGGACACGCTGCGCGCACCCGACCCTTTCAGCAAAGTCTGAGTCAGCAAAGTCCTACACGTCCTACACGTCCTGCACTCATCCCGAAGCCAAACAACGCACATGTTTTGACATTCAACTGCCAACCCCCTTCAAGCAATGGCCGAGAAGGCACAGGAACAAGTGCAAAGAATACACCAACTGCTCCGGGTAGTGAAAATATTGCCCAGGGAGATACAGAGTGGCTGCAAACAGAATCACCAGACTGCAAAATTTTCAGGATCAGGCTTGCTGATGACCAGGGTGGCCAAATGTTCTCCTTTAAACGAGAATGGTCTGATGATGAAAGGCCCCAGACCACCTCCAAAAAAGCAAGGAATTAGGTGTTTTTGTAGTTCACTTTGAATAAATCAACTGCTTCTGGTAAAGACGTTGCGCCTCTTCTTTTTTTTTTTTTTTGCGTTGTTGTACTCCTGTATCTGATCCTCCCAATGCTTCTGGCCTTGAACGCCACTTCCCTCGACCACAACTGCTCCCACGATGGGGCTGGCCAACAGAAGGATGAGTGGGGCCCTTTTTAGACATTCGTCCCAGCAGATGCCAAGGGGCAAGTAGGCACACAGGGCTTGAGCCGCTGCATGTCCACCTGTAGGAGGAAGCTTATTTGACTCTGTGCTGTACTGTACCATGGTCCAGCGCGTGGGTACTGCGGCCGGAGTCCTGCCTGGGAACTTCTTGAAGATCCACTTCCAAGGCTTGCCCTCCTTCTTCCATGCCAGTAAGCGCTGCTCGTCTAGAGCCCCCCATGGGATATTCATCCTCGTACCCGAACGGCCGAGCCCGTCCTCGCTCGAACGTCCGTCATCGTCACTGCTGAGGTCGGGATCGCTATCGCTCAAACCACCATCGTCATCGCCGCTTGACGGCTCACTCCCTCGCGATGCAAGAGCCCCGGTATCAACGGCTCTACCTTCTTTAGGCCGGGTACGCGTCGCGTCGACGCGGTCACGGTCTGCCCCCGCAGTAATCGATAGAGTCGTGCTACCGAACGAGGGGTGGGATGATACATGCAGGCTGCAGCCACTCTAGAGGTACAAATGTTGCTCAATCGCCATGATAGTGAAGTCGTCAATCGTCCCCACGTGGCCCGTATTCGCGATGAGTCGAGCCAGCTGGGCCAGAGAGACTCCTCGCCCGTCACAACCGTCCCAGATCGTCGCCGTAAAGGAGGAGTAGTCTGCGGAGTGCGGACGGAACGTGATCTCGGTGCTTTGTCGCTGCGTCTATAAATAGTGCCGGTCCCTGGTCAGATTCCCACAAGTCAGTCACTGTCGCCACAAGCCAAATACATCTCCATCACATACCTCGAATTCCGGGTCTGTAGCCCCCATCATCGTCGGCTGCTGCCGCTGCTGCTGGTCATAGCGTGCTAAGTGATGCACCGCTCGACTTGGTGTACTAGAGCTTGTTGAGGATGCTGGTTTGTTCCAGGGCAGGTTTGCGGCGGGTTGCTGTGCTCTTAGAGTGCGGAGGTGTTGGATTGTAGGTATACTGTGGTTTAAAGGCAAAAGCGGCCATCTCGAGCGCGTGGAAATGATTGGGAGTAGTCGAGAAATTCCAGCTGGAGGTTGATTGCACAGCTGAACTGCACAAAAATGACAGAGACAGGGAAATCGAAGGGTTCATAGACTCCTCGCACTGCCCTCGCAGAACCGGAATACGCTCTATGGCCCGCTGTATACGCCCGCTATGCCAGGCTTCCCCCTTCTAACGCCCTCTCCGTAAAAAAAAAAGCCTCGGCGTCAATGCAACCCATCTCGCGCAAAGATCCGCTGCAGCGACAATACCCTGTTACCGTCGATTCTGCGCTCCCCTACCGGAATATGCCCATCCGCAGCCGTTATCCCACTTCGCTGTTGTTGTGTCGTCACATAACCTCTCTCTTAGCGTCTTAGCGCGGCACCCCGACTATTTGTTTCAGCATTCGCGCTTCTCGCACCATCAAACAATGTTGGGTTTATGGTCCCCAATCATTTTCAAGCTAGAGACGAGGAAACAGCCCCATTGCTTATTTTGGATGCTGGGCCACTTTTGAGGCTGCTTCCACGTCGAGGCTTGTCTTACCCCGAGTCAAAAATGAAGCTATTCCCAGCTATCCCCATTGACTGCGGAGCGGCGCCGCTAACCAACCGCGAATAGTTCTGCCCCCCATTAAAAAAAATTGCTTGATCTCTTGAGCAGTGAACTGTAGTTTAGTTAACTATTACGTAGTGCTTACGACGCTCTTGGTTAATTAGTATAAATCACTGAAGATCAAGTTTTCCTTCACGTGACTATATTAGCTGATCCGTGACACATGGGACAAGGCTGAAGCCCACGAAGCCACTACTATCCCCCCCCCCCTAAACACTTAATAGCCGGTTCCCCTCCCACTGCGCTTCGCTTGTAGTCGGGATAAGCAAGTGTCTCGTTTAACCAAGTATCCCATCGAGAAAATGCGGGCCCTAAAATTTATATATAATCCTTACCAAAAAACGCGTCTTGCAATTGCGCATTTGGCCCAATTTATTAACTAATTTATTATTTAATTTACATATAGAGATTCCAAAAATAGATATACCTTTATTTGATTTTACTAGAATTAGGGAGATATTCTGGGAGTATTTCTATTATCTATATACTATAGAAGCTAATTACTACTATATCTTTAATAAGGCCCGCAAATAGTACCTTAAAAATAATAATAATTTAGTAATTACTACTATAAGAATATATTATATTAAGAAAGCTTCTTTGCGAAAATTAGTACTCCGCAAATATAATAAGAAGAGAAACTCCTAAAAACTCTATAATATATATAATAATAATAATAAGATCCTAAATAAGATATAAGAAAAGGCAATTCGGCAATATTACTATAAGTAATAGAAGGCTGGTTTGAATACTATATATTAGATAGTTCAAGCCGTAATTACTTACTTAAAGGCTATAAGTACTTCTTTTAAATCTAATAATATATCTAATATAATTAGGCTAAATCTCTCCCAAAACCACCTCCTTTAGCTACTTGATTTAGCTTCTAGATACGGAACTATAAGACACTTTATATAATTAAAATAAAGCCAATTATATATATATAACTCGAGTTCTATATAGAAGAAGATATTAGAATATAGTTTCGGAAATATTAAGATACTTTAGAGAAGCTTTATATTATAAAAGAAAAGAATATTCTAAATATAGATAAGTCAGAAGCCTATATTAGTTACCTTACTAGTAAGTATATAATTATATTTATAGAGGTAAAGAAGCTATATATAGCAAGCCCTAAAAATCGCAAATTAGTTATAATAATCGAAACTATTTATATAAATAGATATAAATCTCTTTCTTTATTTATAATTACTTCTGGAAACAGTATATCAAATGAGTAGAGTAGAGTAGAGTAGTGGGTCCTACTCATACTCTACTCAACCAATTATAGCGCTACTTATACTCTACTCATACTCTACTCAAGCTACTCATGAGTAGTATAAGTAGTGTGAGTAGGTGCCCACGTGACAGTTACACGTGACAGGCTAGCCTAATTAGGTAAGCCTCCTATCTAGCGCCAAGTTTCTACCCAATTAGGCAATGGCATTGCTTAGTAAGCGAGCCAAAGGTCAGGGGGAAATCAAGATTCTAAGAAGTATAACTAGTTTATTATTATAGAAAATTAATATTTAGTTAGTCTTATACAAGCCCTAGCTTACCTTTACTAGAACTACTTAATAAATATCTTTATTATTTAATTATTATTAAATAAATCTTAGTTTATTATTGTTACGTAATGGCTACTCATTACTACTCATACTACTTATAAGTATATACTCTACTTTACTCAAATTTTTAGGACATTACGCTACTCATATTCTACTCACGCTACTCATGAATATTCATGAGTAGTATGAATAGTATGAGTAGTTCTTTAATATACTGTCTGGAAAGAAGATTATAGATAATTAGATATTAGAAAACCTGATTAGTATAGAGTATATTAAATATATTTCTACCGGATATATAAATAATAATATAGCTATAAAATACCTTAATTATTTAATTAAGTATTTAAAAGCTAGTTTAAATAAGTCCTAAAAAATACTTCTTTTTAATAGATATAAATCTTATATCTATAAATCTTTTTAATTAAAGGCTAGTAAATATAATATTAAGCTTTTCTAGTTCTTTTCCCATTTAATATATATCCTTTAACTACTTAATATTAGTATATTTCGCTTCTGGAAATACTACTATAAAATAGTAATTTATATAGCCCTCTAATCTCTTAATTTTAAATATATAATTACTTTCTTTTTTCGTAATTTTATCTTTATTTATATATAAATAATATAAAAGTATATAATTAAAAATGCCTTTAAAAGTTCTAATATATAGCCTATTAATTATAAAGCTAAAATTAAAAAGATATAATTATATAGAAAAAAGAAAAGATTAATTAAAGAAATTAAGGTAAAGAATAGCCTAAATCTTCTCCCCTTATTATCTATCCGCCCTAATAAAGTATAGAATATAGCCTCAATTCTATATATACTTATAGATTATAATTCTATAAAGTTTTTAGATAATTTAAAAGAAACTTAGAAGATTACTATTAAAAAAATTAATATATAATTATAAAAGAGTTATCTCTAGATAATAGAGTACCAGGCTCTCTAAATAAAGCTTTATAAGAAGTATAATTAAAAGGCGAAATCTTATAAAAGCTTATATAAAAGAGGCCTATCTATAAATATAGTAGAGCTTTATATTAAAATTAAAGAAAAGAAGTAAAAGAATAATAGAGAGGCTCTTTATAAGGCTAAAAAGAAGCTTGCTACTACTATTAATTAAGCTAAAAATTACTTTAAGAATACCGGTATCTAAGCTTATAAAAATAAGAAAGCTAGATTAGCCAGAATTATAGAGTATTAATTAAAAAATAAACTAATTCTAGTAAAGAATATAATACTAATTTACGAACCTAATAAAAACCCTATAATTATTAAATAAGCTTATTATAAGAAGAACTTTTACCCTAATTTATAGCTTATAGTTTACTAGCTTAAGGTATTCCTTAATAATCCAGCCCCTAATTAGCTAGAGGCACTAAATACCTTTATTAATAAAGATAAGAATATAGTAATTAATACTATAAAACAGAAATATTAAAAGAAGAATATAGGAAAGTATATAGACTCAAGTTCACCCTCTTTTAATTACCTAGACTCGTTAGATATAGAGAGTAATACGGGCTTAATTAATAATATATAAGCAAATACTAATTTTATATAGTTCTAGATAGCTTTGTTTTTTTTATAACTAGTATCCTTAATTCTATTATAAATATTCTTGATTTTGTATATAATATATACCAAAAATCAAGTACTAGCTAAAATCTCAATAGAATACTTAATTAAATAAAACACTTACTTATTATAAATACGCAACATATCCTAATATATACTAGCCTTACTTAGCCGCTTATCCCTAGCACCGGCCATATACTAATATTATATATATACCCGCTAATAAGTAATTCGGATAAGAGTAACATAATTTATTACCATATATGCCCCCCCTTCTTTTCTTTCTAATCTCAATAAACTAGTAAAGATAAGTAATAACCTCTATATAGCTGCCGACGAGCGTACCTGCAAGGCCCGCCGCACCGGCCTATAGGCAAAGAAGAACGAGTAGCTAGTAAATACGGCGCGCAGTTACCTGTTCAAGTAGCGGGAGTAAAAGGTGCGCGCCCCTCACCCCCTTATATAAGACTCGCTTGCTAACGGGGACCATATAGATATAATACGCAATACCGCGCCTCGCGTAAGACGGCTCTGCCTATATCTGGCCAGACGGCGAGCTCGTTACGCCCAATAAGCTAGCGGCATAGCTCAAGAAAAACATCCTATTATGGCATATTAAGCCCCCCTCAAGATACTAGCCACAGGTCCGTATAAGAGCCATTAACCGGCAGCTATAGCGAGAGCAGGCTAATACTACCGCTCTTACGGAGGTCGAGACGCTCGCTAAGGCCTTAGAAATACCCCTAATAGACGCTATTATATTACTCGCAAATAACCGCAAGAGCTATATATCCCCGCTAGCCCTCGAGCTCGCGACTCAGGAAGCAGAAGCGCCTGCCACACCCGCAAAAAGGGCCTTATTTACCAAAAGTATAGTTAATACCTATATTATAGCTATTCTCGAGCTCTAGCAAATATAGGTCGCCTATAGTAATAGTAATATTAAGAACCCTTATAGTATTACTATCTATAGCTTCCTTAAGTAATATAGCTAGTAATAGAGTAAGCTAGACTATAAGGCATATAAAGACTATAGTAGTAATAGTATTTAGGCCAGCTACTCTATTAATAAGTAGCTATAGATCTAGAATATTCTTCTAAATAGGGCCGCTTATATATTATAGAGCCTCCGGATATATACTAACTTGCTTCTCGGCTACTACTACCTCTTATATAAGGAGAACCGGCAGAAGATAAAGTTTGCAGACCTATTTCTGCTTAACTATCCGGCTATAAAGAGCCTAATAATATATAGCTACCTTATAAATCTGCTCTAAAATAGTAAGATAAATAAGATAGCCTATAAGAAGTTTATAGGCATCTTATAGTATAAGAACTCCCTCTTATATATATAAAGGGCCCTTACCTAGCTCTTCTTCTAGTACTAGTATATTACGGGTAAGGCACTACTAATATTCCGCTACTATAGTAACTAGTACCGGATTAAGATCCTTATTAGCCAGAATTATAAGTAAAAGCTCTTATACTTAATATAGCTTTAGAAAATCTAATATATCTTTAATATAGCTAGTATTATCTCAATAATAAAGATATATTTACTATAGGCGCAAGGCGCTAAAAAGGCCAAGATCCGGAATATATTACTTAGCCAGATCTTGCAGGCCGGCTACTAGAACTAGAGTATTCTCTATTAGGCCTACCTAATATATCTGCCGCACTAATTTATATATATTATTGCCGGCTTCTTACTATTCGCAAGTAACTACTTTCTCGCGCAAGCGGCTTATAAGCCACTATATAGGCTCTAAAAGTAGCTCTAGCTCTAGATCAAGAAATAAAAAGCGCGCTTTAAGGCATATACCTGCCGGTAGACCTAGAACCAGGGTGGCCTAGATAAGAATAACCTTGCCGCAAACGGCTTTCTCAAGCTTATATAGCGCCTATATCTTGTCTTACTATAAGACCTCGCTATTCTATAGCCGCACTACCCTATACTACCCTTCTTTACTTATGCCCCCTTTTATAGGCCGGAATAGGACAAGTTTGTAGTTATAATATAGGCCAATGCTATTACTAGTATAGAGCCGCAGAGCCTGCTCCTATAATACGCGCTTCCCGAGCTAAGTAATATTCTTAAGAGCTCATATAAGGCCGTCTTATAAAGCGTCTAGTAGCTAGCAAACTAGTAAGCGGCAGCCTTATAAGTACAGGTAGTAATACTATAAGCCCTATAGGCCTAGCTAGATAGAATCTTATATATCCCTATTACCTTTACCTTAGGCGGCGGGCCCCTAGTAATACTGGCCGCGCTACTAGTAATCATGCCAGTACTAGCGGTAGTAGGCAGGCCCGTTACGGCTACCGCCGCCGCCGCTACTTCTGCTACTAGTAATATTATCGGCCCGCTAATACTAATAGCCCTAGCGCGGGTCTTTATAGTCAAGAACGCCTAGCGGAAATAGCAGAAGGGGCTTATAGGCCAGCCGGCGCTACAGGAGCTTAAGGCGCGGTAGGGCAGCCGCTAGCGCCCGGAAAACGCTATCCGGATTACGTTTAGTTACCGGAAGATACTCTGGAACGAGATCCTGGCCCGTATAGCCCGTGGCAAGAGTATTAACGAGGCCGTTGCCGAGTTCGAGCTACTACGCGCGAGCCGGAGCCTCAACTCGCTAGTAGAAGAGCTAAAGCGGCGCCGCGAATACATTACGCCTACGCCGGCGCGGGGGCCGGGCCAGGGGCTAGCGAGGGTAGTAAGGGGGCAGCCGCAACAGGGGCAGTACGGATAGTAGGGGAGAAGGGGGGGCCCGCCGCCGCGGTAGCCTGTCTATATGGGCTAGGGCCCTTTACTTATATAGATATATAATAATAGTAATACTTTCCTCTTATATATACTTCCCTTAGCCCTGTAGCCCCTTATAACAGGCGTCCCGGATACCCGAGAGCTAGATGAGGCAGCGTTGCGGCCGAGCGAGCCCCTGACGGCCTCGCTTAGGCGAGCGCGCACGCAAGCGCGCCCGTAACTCGATAACGCCGCATCCGATCCGGGCGATTCTTGGACGGGCAGCTCTATACGGCCTCCAGCATTAGTTTCGTACTACCGGGGCCCGGATCGGACGCGGCGTCGTCGAGTTGCGGGTAGTAATAGTCGCGGCGCACTTATTGCAGGCTCTGCCTGAAATCACAGGCGATGTCAGAACATGTCTAAGCGAAACGCACCCACAATAAGTTCTGCTTATCCCGACCACAAGCGAAGCGCAGTGGGAGGGGAACCGGCTATTATAGTGGGTCCAACATTCGCCTCACTCTCATGCCACGATTCACACCACTAAAGGCACGCAATGAGTCTTTACCGCTTTCTACTTCAAGTGAGCCAGTACTCACTGGGCTTTCTGCCGCTCTTATAGTGCAAGTTGTACTATATGCTAGAAGCTTCTACATGCTCTGATTGGCTAAAAATGGGGTGAGGCGTGGCGTGAGTGAAGCATGAGAGTGTGGCGAATATCGGACCCACTATACTATCCCCCCCCTTGAATACTTACAGTGGGTCCTTTAGTAACGCCACCCTGAAACCTCGTTTATAACCCCCAACTAGGAAATATCAGGTGCTCTCCAGAATCGCTATTGGCCATACACCCTTGAGTTGGTCAGTGCAGGAGTGGTGTTATCCCAGGACCCACTATAAGTATTCAAGGGGGGGGATAGTAAGTGTTTAGGGGGGGGGATAGTACAGATTTGCCCCTGTGTCATTGGACTCTCAAATCCAGCCACAACACAACGCCAATATTGCCAGTGTGTCAAAGAATTATTCAAGTTATTCAAGTTATTCATGAATAAAATAAGAGTAACGAATATCTTAAATAATTTGAGTAAAATAGAATAATTATTTATGAATAACATGAATAATCATGAATAATCATGAATAATCACGTGGAAGTCACGTGGAAGTCAATTATTATAGTAAATTAACATATATTTAAATTTGAAAAAAGAACTAAGGTATTTATTAAGCAGCCTTATATAAGTTAAGCTAATATTTATATAAGGCTACTTAAATACAGATTTTCTATAATAAATAAACTGATTATCGCTAAGGTTCGATTCGCTTACCAAGCGCCACTACCACCTGATTAGGTAGCGAGGTGGCGCTTGGTACGGCCCCCCCGAAGCCGTACCCGATTAGGCTAGCTCAGTCACGTGCATAGAACGTACGTTATTCAAGTTATTCATGATTATTCATGAATAATTTGAATAATATATGAATAAAATAAGAGTAACGGCCGTTATTCTATTCTACTCTATTCATTTGACACACTGAATGTTGCCGCCTAAATTTTTCAAATGTTGAACTTCATGTTACCAACTCCTGAGCTACCACTTTCTACGGCCAGCTCAATAGACATTGCTCTCGCCGTCTTCCCAGCATACTTGGCATCGATCTCAACTCCTTCATGGCACAATACCAATACTCCCCGCTCAAGGAAGAGGGGGGGGGGAGGGTTAGACTACTTACTCTCCATCCTGGCCTTTTCAATTCAGAAACATACGTCGTGCTTCACAATGAAACACTCGCAAAGAGTAACACCCCTGCTTTTGAAGCTCTTTCTTACACTTGGGGCTCCATGGAAAACCTACATGACATCCGTGTTGGACCCAGTGCAAACGACGTCCTCTCAGTCACTAGAAACTTGGCAGTTGCGTTGCAGCATCTTCAACATGTCAAAAAGGTGCGAGTTCTATGGATTGATGCTGTATGTATTGACCAGAAGAACACCAAGGAGAGGGGCCAGCAGGTAGAAAGGATGCGCGATATATATACGCTAGCAGATAGAGTCGTTGTTTGGCTTGGCGCCGAGGAGCAGAACAGTATATATGCTTTGCAGCTCATGAGTGCTTTGAGTTCTAAGATAGAGGTAAATTGGTTATTAGTTGTGATAAAGCCTTCTATGCTGGGAGAGGACGAGCCAGATTGGACTGATCGAAGCAAACCGTTGCCGTACGAAGGCAAGGAGCTGGATGCCATATACTCTTTGCTTCATCGCTCGTGGTTTGAAAGGCTTTGGATCCGGCAAGAAATCCGTTTGGCCAGCAAGAGGTCCGTCATTGTATGTACACTCTCCCCACATCCCTATCCCTAATTTACTCTCACCTCTCAAGCGAAGAGTACCAATTCTGTCTGAGCCAAAGTCCGCGTCGCTCTCAGCACTCTTGTCTGAGTCCGGATGAAGCAAGGCTAACCTCAACATGTTCTAGATGTGCGGAAACACGTCTATCCCATGGCAAGCTTTCCGCAATGCTATTTTCTGCTTGCGGCACAAATCAAAGAAAAAGGAATTTCTTGGCGTCAAGGCTGTTCCCTTCCATGAACGCATAGAAATGGTGTACCAACTGAGCGACGATGCCAGCCCGGTCCCATTCGGAAGGCTTATCCGCATGACTAAATATTGCAAATGCTCTGATCCAAGGGATCGGGTCTACGGGTTGCTAAGTATGCTTCAGAAAACGGAAAGGGAGATCGGGATCAAGCCCGATTACTCTTTGACAACGAGTCAAGTCTACCAAGACGTGGTTCTTCGTTTCATTCACCACTTTAACACGCTCAAGATTTTAGCGTCTTGTGAGATGCAAGAAAAGCCTTTGGACGTGCCCACATGGGTTCCAAATTGGTCTGTGGGGAATATTGCCGACCCTTTGTGGAGTCCGCTTGCCGACGCACAATCACCCGCGGCTGCAGAGTACCTGGGCAATGGAGAGCTGAGTGCTGCAGGCGTTAACGCTGCAAGTGTTGAGAGTGCCGAGAAAATCAACTTCGTAAACTCTTCGAATCCAGAGCTAATTGCAACTATCAGAAGGCATGCTCCTGCTGATGTCCTTTGCGGGTCAACCGTAGGCGGCGTGAGCCTTCTCGATGCATATTGTCGTACAATTTGCTGCGATTACTTTGGCGAAGGCTACCTTCCAAGGCTCTCGCACTTTCCAACCTTTCAGGAGAGCAGGGAAGCTTTGGTTTCCTTTCTCACACAAGACGGAGATTCTGCCGTAGATTTAACTCCATCTAGCGGCCCGGCAAAGTACCTTGACTGGGCGTGGAACTTCCTTCAAGGCAGATCATTTTTCAAGTCGGTAGAGGGCTACATCGGACTCGCCCCGAGAGCGGCAAAGCCAGGGGATGAGATTTGCGTCCTCTTTGGATGCCAGTCGCCTTTACTGCTCCGTCGGACCCAGGAAACTAGGTACCAAGTCGTAGGAGAATGTTACGTATACGGGTTGATGCACGGCGAGGCCTTCCTTGGGCAACTTGATTGGAAATACCACCCCATCCTTATGTTCGATGATGCCTCTAAATATCATATCCCTGCCTTTCTGGATACAGCGACTGGAGAGACCCAGGCTGTTGATCCAAGAATGAAGGGATTACTCAAAGCAGATAGTATTTGCCCAGATCAAGGAGATCGAGGCAAGTACGCAGGTTCAACTTTAACGCCAGAGCTCCTGAAAGATTTAGGGGTTAACGTGAAAATCTTTGAGCTTTTATAACGACCACTTAACTTCTTGCGAGGTGTCTTTTTTTAAGAAGGAGAAGAAGAAGAAGAAGCGCACGTAACCCTACCACAATACTCCAAAAATTGCCGCTTGGCCACCTGCACTTTCAATAAGGATATACACTCAATTATCCAGACTCTATGGGAACATTTAGTATGCCCTCGTCGAGGAATCGCATAAACTTATTACTGTCACATAAACACTTGCTATTGAGGTCTCTTTTCATTTCGTTGCAGAATTCTTTTGCCAAAACATTTGTACAATTATATATTTCGTCTTAATAAAAGCGACTCATTTGAAGTTCTAGCAAAGGAAATAGACTAGAGACTTCCTACTTCCAAATCGGATCAGAATAGTGAGCCTAGTTTGCAGACTATCCCGTTCTACTCAGAGTAAAATCAGCTGTCTCGAGCAAGTGCTCGGCATCTGCACAGGCTCGATTATTTCGAGCTTATATTTCTTCTAATATAGTTCTCTATTACAAGAACCAACAGTTAGGCATACGTGTATATCAGGAGATAGTGGCATGTGGGGTTTATTAACCGTAAGAACTCAAGCGCGTGCTCCTTCAACTGAGCCTGGAAACAAAACGTTGTTGGTATTGGCTATCTCGGGAGCTTTGTCATCGCCTTGCGTTGCGTCGTGGGCGCATGCAGTATAATCGAACACAACGCAATGTCAGCAGCTTTGCACGGGGTTTCTTGTTACACAACAGTTCCATCTGCTGCAATATTGGCCATCGAAATGGTGAGACTTCGCTCGTAGTGATATTATGTAAAAGCTCGCCACCCCCAGCTATTCCATTATACGACTTACTGAACTCTATATCTACACTTCATTAACAGCAGAAAATTGGAACCACGCCAATCACGCCAATACTCTCATCCAAGGGAATAGCAATGGGCACCGAGACCACCGAAAACCGCGAAGTCATCCAGCCTTTCAGCATCAATGTTCCGGAAGAAGCTCTCGCAGACCTACGCCGACGTCTAGCACAAGCGCGTCTGCCGGACCGCGAGACGGTAGATGACTTCTCACAGGGCGTGCCCCTGAAAACCATCGAGCAAGTCCTGCACTACTGGAATACCTCCTACGACTGGCGCAAAGTTGAGGCACGTCTCAACGCCGTGCCAAACTTCATCACCGAAATCGATGGGCTCGATATCCACTTCCTGCACGCGCGCTCGAAGCATGAGAACGCACTGCCGCTGATCGTGACACACGGCTGGCCCGGCTCGGTAGTAGAGCAGCTGAAGATCATTGACCCGCTCACAGATCCCACGGCGCATGGAGGGAGTCCCGCGGATGCCTTCCATGTGGTGATCCCGTCAATGCCCGGGTATGGGTTTTCTGGGAAGCCGACGGCTACGGGGTGGGGCCCGGAACGAATCGCGAGCACCTGAATCACGCTTATGCGGCGTCTGGGATATGAGCATTTCGTGGCCCAGGGCGGCGACTGGGGGGCATTGGTCACCGATCAGATAGGTGTCCAGGCGCCGAAAGAACTGCTCGGCATCCACACGAACATGCCCGGCGCCATTCCCGAGGACATCAACCTGGCATCTCTCTCCGGGGCCTCAGCACCCTCTCTTCTCTCTGCCGAGGAGCGGAGCTCGTACGATCAGCTCGTGTTCTTCTACAAGAACGTCTACTATGCCTTCTGGATGGGTACGCGGCCACAGACGATGGCCGGATTCGCAGACTCGCCGATCGGCCTGGCGACCTTCCTGCTGGACCACGACGCACGTAGCCTCGAGCTGATTGCCCGCTCGTTCGATGGACAGGCCGAGGGTCTCTCGCCGACCGATATCCTCGACAATGTGACGCTGTTCTGGCTGACGAATACCGCGGTCTCGGCTGGGCGGCTGTATTGGGAGAATAAGCTGCCTTTCTTCACTCCTAAGGGCGTCAAGGTGCCTGTTGCGGTGAGCGTGTTCCCCGATGAGCTATACCAGACCCCAAGGACTTGGGCGGAGAAAGCTTACACTCACCTTGTTCACTATAATAAGGTTGAAAAGGGTGGACACTTTGCTGCATGGGAACAGCCGGAGATCCTTACTAAAGAACTTCGCGATGGCTCTAGGTCCCTACGCAAGTAGTTAGCTCGAGACAGGTTAGCGCTGGCTTAAGGAAGTCCCTGTGCCGTTTTGCTTTGAATACAGTGGTGGAATGTTACTTCAGTAATTTTGTTAGTAGTAATCCTTGTGGCATAGATTAAGTATGCGGCACGATATAGGAACAGAAATGAAAAGCACTTGTTTCAGTATAATTTATATCGATTAATTCTTGTTTTTATTATCATATTTTATGTTAGTATTTAAAATTAAGAAGATTAATCTCAAGAAGCGGGAAAGAAAAGTTTTTCACTCTATGAATCCTGACCCTAGTCTAAGCCATATCGTTTTCTTTCTGTGCCTCAGCTTTTTTCTTCCAGGAGAAAAGATTTCAAACGCTCCTCATCGCTTGCCCCAGTGCAAACCAGGGATGTACCATTCTGTAGGCGTCTGGTCTTGTCGATTGAGTCGGAACGTTTGGAACGCCTTGCCGATATCGTGCCACTCGTTATTCTTAATCATATCCCGCTCAACCTTCTTCTTGAACAGCATATATCTCACAGAAACTGCCGAGCGCAGCAGTTTTACCAGGCCGCCGAGATTGAATGTGACAAAGTACGTTCTGAGTGCGACGAGATTAAATTTTCTTCAGCTTGAAATTCCTTTGCAGTAGCAATTGTCTATAACCAAGCCTAATTAATCCTAGATCGCACAAAAAACGTTAACGAGATTAAACTGCTACTAATAACCTCGAGGAGATTACCGGACTAAATAGCTTTATTATTATTAAGTTTATATATCCGAAGTACTAATTCCGATATTTTATTTAAAATTACCCTTAAAGTTAGAACTAAATATCTCAAATTTCTTTTCTTTACTATATTCTTTCTTTTTAAAATATATTAATATAAACTTTAAAAAGAATTAAAGAGTTTTATAGAAATAGAGCTCGAAACCTGGCTTTCTTATAGCTTATAAAGTAATATTTTATAAGAAAATAATATTAAAAGTCTAGCTTTATTATTAATTTATAAAACTATTATTATATAATTTAAAAGTTATTAATTTGGCTAATTATTAGCTTAAAGTCAATTTGCTTTAATTATATAATACTTAAATATAAGTATTATTTTATATATTAAATATTTTCTTTTTCTTATTTTAAAAAAATCTAAATTCTCAAGAAATACTAAAGTTATAATAAATATATATAATAGTATATAAATAAATATTAGATATTATAGATCTAGTTTTCTATTTTAGATAAAGCTTATAATTAAAATTATATGAATTATATAGAATTATATTTTCTAATTAAATAAAAAGCTTTATATACTTGGTTAAATACTAGAAAATATATAAAAAGATATTTCTAGCTTTAAAAAGAAGTATTAATTAGTTTTTTATTAAAATTGACTTTTAGAAATTAATTATATTTATAAATATTACTTTATAGCTTATTTATTTTAATTATTTATATATTATTCTACTATTATATATCTTATATTTTAATTAATCTAATTTTCGGAAAGTAGTTTTTTATAAAATTATTAATAACTAGAATATTAATTAAAAGAAATACCTTTATTATTATTAAGGTAATTTAGTTAGATATTTAAAAAAAATATCTTATTAAATATTTTAGTTATTATCTAAATAAAAAAAGGAAATAAAACTTAAATACTTCTAAAACTATTTAGTAAAATAATAATAATAAAGAAGCTAATAGCGGTTTATTATTATATTACTAAATTAGAAATAAAGATATTATTAAAGAAAAATCTAGAAAAGCTAAAAGCTTAAATCTATTATTTTAAAAATTATAAGATATATAATAGTAGAGTAATATATAAGTAATTAAAATAAATAAGCTATAAAATAATACTTGTAAATATAACTAATTAATATTTCTTTCTAAAGCTAGAAATATCTTTCTATATATTTTCTAGTATTTAGCTAAATATATAAAGCCTTTTATTTAATTAGAAAATATAATCTTATATAATTTATATAATTCTAATTATAAGCTTTATCTAAAATAGAAAACTAGATCTATAATATCTAATATCTATTTATATACTATTATATATATCTATTATATATATCTATTATATATATCTATTTATATACTATTATATATATCTATTATATATATCTATTATATATATCTATTATATATATCTATTATATATATCTATTATATATATCTATTATATATATCTATTATATTAATTTCCTCTCTAAACCCTTATTTCTAAGAGATTTAGGAAAACTATAAATAGTTTAATAAATATTTCTAGAAACTTTTCTAGCTATTAGCTTTTCCTAAAAACTTTCTATAATTACTTCATTATTATATTAGATATAAAATTAAAAATATAGTTTATTAATTTTACTTAATTAATTTATAAATTGCTTCTAGTAATTTCCTTTTATAAAAATAGTATAAATATAATATATATTATTAGATATAAAGTTTATTCGATTTCCTAATTAGTTTATAAATCCTAACTTAATTTCTATTTATAAATGAATTATTATTCTATAGGCTTAAAAGCTTAAAAAAATTAATTCGATTTTTTAATTTATTTATAAATTTCTTTTTTTAAATTTTCTGGATATTTCTAATATAAAGCTAATTCCGAATTTATAATTACTATTTAGGGAAAAAGTATTATAAAAAGGCTTCTTTTTTGCTATTAACTAACTTTCTTTTCTATTAATTATAATACTATATTTAGCTCTTTTTTATTTCTTGCCTTTCTTTTCTAAACCTTCTTTAAATCTTTTATAAGCTTTCTTTTAATTTCTTTTTTTATTTCTTTATTTATTAAAATAAATTCTTTCCTTAATACTTATTAGTTTATTATTAATTATTTAACTAATATTTCTATATTCTTAATTCGCTTTTATTATTTCTAATATTTTAAGAATATTATTAAGTTTTTTAATCTCACTTATATTAAAAGTAATAACTACTTAAAATATAATTACTACTATTTTAAAAATTAAAAATATAATTCTATAAATTATAATTTTTTTCTTTTATTTTCTATTCTAATATTATTTAAGGTTTCTCAAATATATATAATATAATTAAATTGCCTTTTTTAAGCTATAGATATATATAAGCGTTTTATTTATTTTTTATTTAAATGAAAAAAGCTATTATTACTTTTTTCTATATTAAACTTTATATATTTCTTATATTAAAGCTATTATTCGAGACTAATAAATTTCTCTAATAATTTAAGATATAAGTTAAGTAATTCTTACTAGCTTAATATAAATATAAAGTACTTTTAAAAGTATAATTAATATTAAATAATATTAAATAAGCTTATTTTCTTTTTATTTTTTTATTAATAGCTAATAGTTTTCTAGACTAATTTATTATTTATTTCTTAAAGATTTTTTAATAAAAATAAGAATTTTAATAAAAATAAAAATAATAGAGACTAATTATAAGAATAAAATATTTATAGAATATAAAGATTAGAGTTTTTAGAGTTTTTAATAATTTTTATATAATTTTTCTAAGAATAAATATATAGTTTTTAATAATTTTCTAATAAAAGTATTTATTTTTTATATTTTTATTTAGCTAATAATATTATAATATTATTCTTTTCTAAATATTCTTATAATGCTTAAACTATATTCTCTAGATTATTTAATAGTAAATAGCTTTTCTAATAAATAAAATACTTTTTTTCTTTTTTACTTTTTTTATAAACTATAATAAATTCTATTTTAAACTTCTTTTTATTTTTAATCTTAATTAATTTTTATTCTATTATAATATTAACTTATAAATATTATAGTTCTAAAAAAGAAATATAGAAAATATTATAAATCTAATATTATAATAATAATTTCAAGTAATATATTTATTTATATATTTCTATAACTTTTAGAATTTTAAAAAAGCCGAAATATTTATTTATTAGCTTTATACTAGAATATAGCTATTAAATATTCTTTATATAAAATATAACTTTATTATATACTTTAAACTTTATATTAATATATTTTTTATATATCTATTATTTTTTGCTATTACTTTTTTAATATTTGTTATTTTATTTAAATTATTTAAATTCTTTTCTATATTACTAGTATTTCTTTTTTTAAAATATTATTCTTAATATATAGTTTAATACTAGAATAAAATCCGTATAATATATAAAAAAGAAATATTTTTATTATTAAATATATTTCTATTATTATATATAAATTCTATAAAAATAAGCTTTATTATCTAATTATTTTATTAGTAGCTAATATAATACTTTAAGTATTATTTTAGAATTTAGTTTAGGTTTTTTATTTATTTATTAGTTTATAAATAAAATACTATATTTAGCTATTACTAAATCTTTAAATAGAAATATAAACTTAACTAAAACTTATTTATAAATATATTGAAATTTTTAATAATATAATACATAAATAGCTCTATTAGTTTAAAAGCCGAGATTTCTTTAATAATTGAAATATATTATATTATTTTTATATATTTATTAATAATAATAAATATAGAATTATATATTTTATTATAAAACCTAAAAAAAATCCCGTAATAAAGTCTATAATAATTTCTTATTATAGTTTAGAGAAAATAAAAAACGAATTAAGTATATTATATAATAAATATTTCTTTATCTTAGTCTATTAATATATAAAATAAATTCTAATATAGTTTTTTATATTCTTTTTTATATTTTACTAGAAGTATTTCTTTTAGAAAATTTCTAGTATTTTATTAATATTAAAATACTTATTTATAAAATTATTATAATTTACTTATAATAATTCTTCTTTAAAAGCTAATTTATTTAATATATAAATAGAATCTCAATATTTTAATAATTCAGATATATTAAATTCCCAAGTTTTAATAGCTTTAGTAAAAGTCTCTTTTAAGAATTATTAATATTACTAGTATTATACTAATAAATCGAGCCTTTAGTATTATAATAATAGTTTAAATAATATCTCTTTACTTTTCTTATATACTATTTCGGATCTAGGCATTTATATAGGTAAAATCCGTAATATATATTATTTATAACTAGTTATATTAATAATAAATTTAAATAATAATATTTCT